TTGCATGCGTGCCACACATCGTTATGATTCGTGCATAGAATATGCTTGCTCTCGATTCCGCATAGAATATGCTTTGTTTTCAATCATGCATAGAATATGCTTGCATGCGTGCCACACATCGTTTTGATTCATGCATAGAATATGCTTGCTTTTGATTCATGCGTAGAATATGCTTGCTTTCGATTTCGCATAGAATATGCTTTCCTTGTTTCTTGCATAGAAAATGCATTCTTCCATACTTGCATAGAAAATGCACCTCATTCGCATAGAACATGCATTCACTCGCACTATTTTGTGCATTTCAAAATCAATCGCGCTGTTTTGCGTATCGCACTGTTTTGTGTATTTCCAAAATCACTCGCGCTGTTTAGCGTATCGCACTGTCTAGTGCATTTCAAATCAATCGCGCTATTTAGCGTATCGCACTGTTTAGTGCATTTCAATCGCGCTGTTTAGCGTATCGCACTATTTTGTGCATCTAGTGCATTTCAATTCAATTGCGCTGTTTAGCGCATCGCACTGTCTAGTGCATTTCGAATCAATCGCACTGTTTAGCGCATTTCAATCGCGCTGTTTAGCGTATCGCACTGTCTAGTGCATTTCAAATCAATCGCGCTCGCTGTTTAGCGTATCGCGCTGTTAAGTGCATTTCAATCACACTGTTTAGCGCATCGCACTGTTTAGTGCATTTTCAATCGCGCTGTTTAGCGTATCGCACTGTCCTGTGCATTTCAAATCACTCGCGCTTTCTTGCGCATTGAACTATTTTGTGCACCTTACTTGCATTTTGCATGCATTCCATCGCGCTATCTTGCGCATCTCACCTGTACTTGTTAGTGCATTGTATCGCGCTATCTTGCGCACCTTATTGGTATCGCACTGTTTTGTGTATTCACCTTGCTCGTACTGTTTTGTACACCTTTAGCATCGCACTATTTTGTGCATCTGTTTAGCACTGTTTTGTGCATTCACTCTGCATCGCACTGTCTTGTGCACTCCCCGGTCTAGGAGACCTTAAATCCTCCGGTCTGCGGAGACCTTAAATCCTGCATCTTTATTCGCACTGTCTTGAGCACTCCCTGGTCTAGGAGACCTTAAATCCTCTGAAGGTGCAATTCCTTTGGTGTTTGTCGTGCCCGAACGACTTTCGATGGTCCGGTATAGCCACCTGCCTGTGTTTGCAGTGAGTTCCTAGGAGACCAACTGGCTTTCTTGCGCATTGCACTGTTTTGTGCGCTTTACTTGCATTTTGCATGCATTCCATCGCGCTATCTTGCGCATCTCACCTGTACTTGTTAGTGCATTGTATTGCGCTATCTTGCGCACCTTATTGGTATCGCACTATTTTGTGCATTCACCTTGCTCGTACTGTTTTGTACACCTTTTAGCATCGCACTATTTTGTGCATCTGTTTAGCACTGTTTTGTGCATTCACTCTGCATCACGCTGTCTTGTGCACTCCCCGGTCTAGGAGACCTTAAATCCTCCGGTCTGCGGAGACCTTAAATCCTGCATCTTTATTCGCACTATCTTATGCACTCCTGGTCTAGGAGACCTTAAATCGTCTAAAGGTGTAATTCTTTTGGTGTTTGTCGTGCCCGAACGACTTCCGGTGGTCGGGTATAGCCACCTGCCTGTGTTTGCGGTGAGTTCCTAGGAGACCAACTGAGACGGTGGAAACTAGAGTTCGAATGGCTTATGCCTAGAACGCAAAGGTTCGGGATTTCCGAGACTAAAGTCTGGTTTAAATACCCAGGGGTATATCCTCTGTCCTCGGCTTGAAATCTGTATGGAAGCCCCATAGGTTGAGATAGCGTGTATGCACCTCAATTCTGGATACTGAACCAACCTAGTCTGTCACCCCGTTGGAGAATAGGGAAAGCTGCGACCTTGGTCAGGAAGAAAAGTAGTACCTGCGGTTCAACTGAGAAGAAGCGGGAGACCCCCAGCAGCATGAGGTAAGTCATTGCCAATGCCCCTGTGAGGTACCTTCATTTCCTAGCTATTACATTGCATTTCAAGTTATTACATTACAGTGCATTGCATGAATCCACTCTTTCAAATCGGCTTCGCGTAGCGTATAAGTCCAACTTTCAAAAATCGGCTTCGTAGCGTATAAGTCCAATCTTCAAAATCTTCTTGCGTATCATTTTGCATTTTTGCCCCCCTGCCTGCGGGCACGTCTCTGTTTATCTTGTATGTTTGTCTAAGTCTTCGGCCTTGTCAAAAATGGGTCGTCTCTGGGCTTTGACATTCACTCCCGTCACGTGTGACTTTCGAGTTCTGTCAAAGAGGGGCAACTGTAGACACCCCATTTTTGACCGACCTTAAGACTCAGACGTCACCGATTGAGCGCTTGGTGATGTTTCATATCGTGCTCGTTCAGAGGTTTCGGAGTCTTGGCCGCGAGCTTTGCCTCCGGACTTCCGGACTCTTTCATGCTTTGCCTCGGTTTGTGAACCAGGCTTTGTTTTCTTTGTTTCTTTACCGAAGGGAGGGAGAGGTCTCGTAGATCATCTCTCAGTGGCCGTAGGTTACGTTTTGTGGTCGTAGGCCATTTTGCCCGTTCGGAGTCCGGTTTCCGGTTTTTCGGAGCCATTGGCCGTGTGCCTCGGTTCGGGACCGCTTAACCATCTCTGTTTGCTCCGGTTTCCGGCGTGCATCCTATTTTCTCCCTTTTGAGGGATACTGTGGTCCGAGAGACCAACTTCGTGGTCGAACACCACTCCCGGTGCCCAACGGTCAGTTTTTGGGGCCCCAGACTGCGCGTTTCGGCGCCCGAACCTTCGTTTTTCATCGGTTTGGGCTCATTTTTGGTGGAGACCTTATTTTCTCTGTTAGAAAGCTTGTAGGAGGATGGGAGGCCAGCAATTTTGCTGAAAAGCCAACTTCTTTTTGGTCAAAAGTGGTTCAGCATGAATCCGGGAAGGAGAAAAATCTGCGCGGCTTCACCGAAACGAGCGTAACTCTTTTCACAAGAGGAATTAAGATATGAGGCTACCACCATTGGAAAGCTTACTTCCGGGGCTTCATTTTTCACTCAAGAATCTCCCAAGTCCAAGTCCAGGGGGAGAAATGTGGTTGGTTGAAGTCCGCTTGGACCGAATCTGCGCGGCTTCACGGAAAAAGGCATAACTTTTTCTACAGGAGGAATTTTAATGCAAGGTTTGCGCCATTGGAAAGATAACTTCTGGGGCTTCATCCTAGGGGGTGGCCGGCCACTTTGTTCCCTTTGACCTAGCCGGCCGGCCACTTTTTCTGGCCGGCCGGCCACTTACCTGGTGGATGACTTTTTTTCCCCTTTTAAACTGGCCGGCCATTTTTGCCCCTGTGAGTCCATTCCAGCCATGTATTTGTTTTTACACTTCACCCATGTCCGAGGGTTTGGCACTTTTTGGAGCGAAACTTGATCCATTTTCCCCCCACTTTTTTCCCCCCTTTTTTCCCCCATTCTTGCCTATTTAACAGAGGCTCCAGCTGCTGGTTTAGGGTTGAAAAATTTCCCTAAGAGCCTCTTGCATTATATCCCTCCATCTCTCTCATTTCCTTCAAAAAACCTTCAAACCCTACACCATTTTACACTACACCACCAAGCCTCACACCACCACTTCCATTTCCAGCAGCTTGGAGGTCTTCTCAGAGGCTAGGAGGCAGCAAATTTGGTCCAAGAAGTTGCTAAAGGTTGGTCTACAAGGGTGAGTACCATTTCCCCCCTTTTTGAGCTTATTTTTTGCAACATTTCTTAGCCATACATTCTTGCTGTTTTGAGCTCCGGCCATAACTGAAAGTAGTGTTATTTTGAGCTCTATTTCATGTTTCATTAAGGGACTTTTGTCATTTGAGGTCCATATCTTGCACTTGCTTCAATATCCTCCTTGAATGCCATTTTCTTGCATGATATTTTTAGCCTATGTGTGATCTGTTTTGGAGCATGATATAACTACATATCTGCCATCATGCAAGAGGTTCCAAATAAGTGTCCGAGTTTTTAAACCGTAATAAAAGTCAACTCTCGGGAAATGAAAAGTCAACAAAAGTCAACTCTCGGGAAATGAAAAGTCAACAAAAGTCAACTCTCGGGAAATGAAAAGTCAACAAAAGTCAACTCTCGGGAAATGAAAAGTCAACAAAAGTCAACTCTCGGGAAATGAAAAGTCAACAAAAGTCAACTCTCGGGAAATGAAAAGTCAACAAAAGTCAACTCTCGGGAAATGAAAAGTCAACAAAAGTCAACTCTCGGGAAATGAAAAGTCAACAAAAGTCAACTCTCGGGAAATGAAAAGTCAACAAAAGTCAACTCTCGGGAAATGAAAAGTCAACAAAAGTCAACTCTCGGGAAATGAAAAGTCAACAAAAGTCAACTCTCGGGAAATGAAAAGTCAACAAAAGTCAACTCTCGGGAAATGAAAAGTCAACAAAAGTCAACTCTCGGGAAATGAAAAGTCAACAAAAGTCAACTCTCGGGAAATGAAAAGTCAACAAAAGTCAACTCTCGGGAAATGAAAAGTCAACAAAAGTCAACTCTCGGGAAATGAAAAGTCAACAAAAGTCAACTCTCGGGAAATGAAAAGTCAACAAAAGTCAACTCTCGGGAAATGAAAAGTCAACAAAAGTCAACTCTCGGGAAATGAAAAGTCAACAAAAGTCAACTCTCGGGAAATGAAAAGTCAACAAAAGTCAACTCTCGGGAAATGAAAAGTCAACAAAAGTCAACTCTCGGGAAATGAAAAGTCAACAAAAGTCAACTCTCGGGAAATGAAAAGTCAACAAAAGTCAACTCTCGGGAAATGAAAAGTCAACAAAAGTCAACTCTCGGGAAATGAAAAGTCAACAAAAGTCAACTCTCGAGAAAATATTCCAAATATTGAGACAAATTTACCTCAAGTGGTGAAAATGCAAAAAGAAGCTTCGAAGTCGGAATTTAATCGCTCCAAAGTGCTTGAAACTGAGTGTTTTTGCGGGAACAATTTGCGCGGGGCGTTGGAAAACGCGCGTGAAACTCAAATCTGGAGAGAAAAGTATTGAAAGAGGCAAGAAATGAAGTGAGGCTCGGCTGCCTTTTATAAGCCTCAAACCTTGTTTGAAGAGGCATGCAAAAGGATGGAAAAAGACCGAAATGCCCCCGGAAAAAGGCCATGGCTGGCCGGCCTCTTTTTCTAGCTGGCCAGCCATCTGCTTTTTGCAGAAATGGCCGGCCAGCCATTAGCTTTTGTGGAAACCGGTTGGCCACCTCCCCTTGGGAAGATAAACGGCCGGCCATCATCCCCACATGCTCACCTAGCTCTCTGCAAATTTTGAGGAAGATCGGAGTTCCCGGGACCTGAAAAAGTTCAAGAAAAGTACACTGCCGGTCGCGAAATTGCTCCGTCGGGACTTCGGTTTCAAGTTCTGACATGTGTCTCATCATCATTCATCGAAATCAAAGTGTATCCTTTTTGAATGAGTTGTAACCTTTCAATGAAGCAGATCGGAGGCCGCGATTGAGTTATCTTCGCCGAAACACGCTTTTCCGTACTCGTTGTTTCATGACAAATGAACACCCTGATTTGTGCTCGTTTTGTACTATCATACACATTATCTTGCATTCTCATGAGCATACTCACATTGTCATCCACGTTTCTTGATGTTAATCATACTTCTATGTTTGAGCATACGTTGTCACGCATGTCACGTTTCTTGATGTTAATCATACTTCTGTGTTTGATCATGCGTTGTCACGCATGTCCTGCTTTTGCATTGCGATGCATTCACTCACCGGCACTGTGTGTGTCGAACTTTCGAAATCACATTAAATACATGTTGTTAGCATATTGTGCTTGTTGCAATTTCTCTCTTTTGCAGGCACGATATTGTATGTACGGTTCAATTGAGGCTGGTGCGACCAGACGAATCGCGCAGGTATCGTATCCTCTCCGTGTGAGACGCGACGAGAATTGAACAATTCTATCGGCTTCGCGTAGCATATAAGTCCAACTTTCAAACCGGCTTCGCTTACCGTATAAGTCCAACTTTCAAACCGGCTTCGCGTAGCGTATAAGTCCAATTATCAAACCGGCTTCGCGTAGCGTATAAGTCCAATCTTCAAATCTTCCTGCATATCATTTTGCATCTTGCCCCCTGCCTGCGGGCACATCTCTGTTTATCATGTATGTTTGTCTAAGTCTTCGGCCTTGTCAAAAATGGGTCGTCCCTGGGCTTTGACATTCACTCCCGTCATTTGTGACTTCCGAGTTCTATCAAAGAGGGGCAACTGTAGACACCCTATTTTTGACCGACCTTAAGACTCAGACGTCACCGATTGAGCGCCTGGTGATGTTGCATATGTGCTTGTTCAGAAGTCTCAGAGTCGTGGCCGCGAGCCCTGCCTCCGGACTTCCGAACCCTCTTCTGTGCCTTGCCTCGGTTTGCGAACCAGACTCGATTTTCTCTATTTCTTTTCCTAAGGGAAGGGAGAGGTCCCGTAGACCATCTCTCAATGTCCGTAGGCTACATTTGGTGGCCGTAGGCCATTTTGCCCATTTCGGAGTCCGGTTCCCGGTTTTCAAAGCCGTCAGGCCGCGTGCCTCGGTTCGGGACCGCCTAACCACCTCCGTTTGCTCTGATTTTCGGCATACTTCTTATTTTCTCCCTTTTGAGGGACACTGGGGTCTGAGAAACCCACTTCGTGGCCGAACGCCACTTTCAGTGTTTAACGGGCAGTTTCCGGGGCCCCGAACTGCGTGGTTTGGCCCCCGAACATTCGTTTTGCATCGGTTTTCATTCGTTTTTGGCAGGTTCCTCTGTTTTATCACTAGGAAGGTCATGGAAGGGTGGGAGGCCAGCAATTGTTGCAGCAGCCAGTTATCTCTCCTCCGGAGCCTCCCGGCGCCCGTCTAGATGGCCCGGCTCCTCGGGAAGGCCGAGATGGCCCCGCCCCCTGAAAAGGCCCGGGTGACCCAACTCCCTGAAAAGGCCCAGATGGCCCAGCTACCCAATGAGGCCCAGGTGGCCTGGCCTGCGGCTGACCGGACCATGAAGGCATCTGAAAACAAAGAGTTCAATTCAAATACATTAGTCCAAATATATACAGCAGATGCAGATACAAGCAAAGGCTACATGAAGTGGGTGCATGTAAATACAGTGTACAAGTGGGGTGTGTGTCAGATGTGCTCTACACAAGTAGTCTATCGATGCAGTAGAAATCAGCATGTCATCAGAAGTATGATAAATGCCAGAAAACTGAAGGGTACCTGAATGCCCGCGATAGACAACTGTGCCTCCCTCCGCAGGACCATGCCCTCGAGTGTGGCCACCACCCCAACCCAACCACCTCCTCCATGTATCCTCGCGATGGCTGCAAAATGAGCTCATAATCATCAATGAACAAAAGAGTGTCTAAACATCTGAATGATGAATGAAAAGAAGTGGAGCATACCGGCGGTGAGTCCGGATCAATGGCGTATCGATCACTGGGCATCGGAGGCTCTAGTGGAATCGGAGTCGGAGAGCTAGCCCCATACTGCCACGCCATCAACTCAGTAGGCATATCTGGCCATCCGGGATGAGGATGAGTCGACGGAACCGGAGGAACCGGTCTACTCCCACCCCTAGATGTACCAGCCCTGCTAGTAGAAGGGGCGTCTGCAGCCCGAGCCCGAGCCTGGCCCGAGGATGACATACCGGCAGGCCTCATCATCGGGATACGAGCTTCCGTCAATGGAGGCATCAAATATATGTGACGGTAAGTGGCGTAGTCCCCCTCCTCAACATGTAATAAAGCATCAGTGCCCAGCATGGCGCCGACTACCTCTGAGTAAGAGAGTCTGTCAGCGGTCCGCATACTGGCTGGAGGTACTGCGGGAATATCCGGAGAAAGATACCCCCATACCTGGCGCAGAAAGCGCTCCCCCAGGAACCATGCCCTGCCAACCGGCCCTTCGAGCAGGACCCTGTACTGGGAGATGTCCGATGCCCCGGTATACTAAAGTCGGAGGCCGTTACCCAGGGACACCCAGGGCTGCCATGTAATCTGCGGATGATGAGTGCATAAACCAATCAGAAATCGAGAATGTACAGAGCAAATCAAAGATGAAAATGAAAAGAACTGAAAGTTCTGATGTACCTCTGAATGTCGCACCGTGTCGAAATACTGTCGCAGGCGAAGGAGGGTCTCTCGAGGCCTCGGCCGGTGCGGGCCCTCGAATATCAATGAATATGGGGTCACGGGAATCCCTACCACCTCCAGCTCTGGGGCTAATGATGGGAAGTATACATAAACCCATAGCTGAGAAAAGCAGTGCAGAATGTAAGTACGAAATGTTGAGAACAGAATACAGACTGTAAAAGTGCGCTGTGTGTGTGCAATGTACAAGTAATGAAAAGCAGAAATGTAAATCAAGGGGACAGAAAGTACCTCCAGGCTCTCCAGTAGCCGCCAAGTAAGTCGCCCCGCCCACGGGAGGTCGCGCTCATGTAAAAGTAAAGGGTAGCCAGGCCGGCGCCACCCCAATCATATCTACTGACCTGTGATAGGTCAACCAGAGCGCTCAGCAGGTATAGCCCAATGGTGTTCCCTCTGTCGGCGAACAGGGTAGTCCCGAAGAGGAACATCAGGAAGCCACGAGCATACTGCTCTGTCTCCTCGGGAGTCTCGGGCACCATTTCCGCCCGCTGAAAATGGGAAGAGAACCAAGTGTATCGGACTCTCACAGAGACCCTGTCAACAGGTGGGCGAGCCCCCAACAGATACGTCCAGGCGGCCTCCCACTCGCCCATGTCCTCGTCGTAGGGAATGGACCAACCTCCGACGTCAAGGCCGGTCAATACAGCGAAGTCAAAAGGGGTCATGGTCATGTCCCCGGTAGCAGAGAAATGAAAGGAATTGGTGTTGTCCCACCATCTCTCTACCAAGGCTGCCATCAGCGTCCTCCTGGCAGGACAACGTGACAACCCGACACAGAAGGGGCCGAACCCCGCCAAATCTACCAAGTTTCTAACGCCCTCCGGGAGCTCAGCGTACCAATCCCTCGCCGCAGTGGAACCGCTGCGTGTTCAGAAAATTTGAGTTTTGGGCTGCGTGTTCAACTTTTAGTTAATTTGTGGGCTGCGTGTTCACTATCTACCTGGGCAGCGTGTTCAGAAAATTTGAAATTTGGGCTGCGTGTTCAACTTTCAGTCAACTTGTGGGCTGCGTGTTCACTATCTATCTGGGCTGTGTGTTCAGAAAATTTGAAGTTGTGCTCAGAAAATTTGAAATTTGGGCTGCGTGTTCAACTTTCAGTTAAATTGTGGGCTGCACGTTCACTATCTATCTGGGCTGCGTGTTCAGAAAATTTGAAATTTGGGCTGCGTTTTCAACTTTTAGTTTAATTGTAGGCTGCGTGTTCACTATCTACCTGGGCTGCGTGTTCAGAAAATTTGAAATTTGGGCTGCGTGTTCAATTTTCAGTTAATTTGTGGGCTGCGTGTTCACTATCTACCTGGGCTGCGTGTTTAGAGAATTTTGAATTTTAGGCTGCGTGCTCAACTTCCATTTAAAGTGTGGGCTGTGTGTTCACTTTCGAATTCGGGCTGAGTGTTCGACAAATCAGTGTTTGAGCCATGTGTTTTAATATGGGCTGTGTGTTCGCAATTAATTAATGAACCGAGTGTTCGAAAATTCAAGTGTTGAAACTACATGTTCAAGATGTAAGGAAAGTACTATGTCACAAGCTAAATGTTTAAGCATGGCAAGGGTGCGAAATGTAAAAAAACAGAAGATAAGGTAAATACCTCTCGGGCCTCGTGAGAGAGATGCTGCTCCGGCTCTCTGAGAAGCAGATCCGCAGGTGCTCTCTCGTCGAAACTGGTAAAATGACGGAAAACGGCACGTGGAAGAACATGTACTGGTGGACGATACCTCCCGGGAATAAAAGGGCGAGTCCTCGGAGGTAAGGTCATGGGATCGAAGTCATCACCGGCACCTGAAAAGCCTCCACCGTAGGGAGAATTGCCCGCCATGTTCAAGAATCTGCAAAAGGGAAGCAAAAATGAGCAAAATCATCCCCGGCACCTGGGAGACCGCCACCATGGGAAGAAGTACCCGCCATTTTCAGGAATCTGCAAAAGGGGAAGAAAAATGAGCAAAATGAGCAAAAATTGGAAAAAGTCAACAAAAGTCAACTCTCGAAAAAAAGTCAACAAAAGTCAACTCCCGGGAATATATTCTAAATGTTAAGATGAACTTACCTCAAGTGGTGAAAATGCAAAAAGAAGTTCCGAAACCGGAATTTAATCGCTCCAAAGTGTTTAAAACTGAGAGTTTTCGCGAAAACAATTTGCGCGGGGCGTTGGAAAACGCACGTGAAACTCAAAACTGGAGAGAAAAGCTTTGAAAGAGGCAAGAAATGAAGTGAGGATCGGCTGCCATTTATAGGCCTCAAGCCTTGGGTGAAAAGGCATGCAAAAAGGAGGGGAAAAGACCAAAATGCCCCTGGGAAAAGGGCATGGCCGGCCGGCCTCTAAAAATAGCTGGCCAACCATCTGCTTTTTGCAGAAATGGCCGGCCAGCCATTAGCTTTTGTGGAAAACGGTTGGCCACCTCCCCTTGGGAAGATAAACGGCCGGCCATGCTCCCCACATGCTCACCTAGCTCTCTGCAAATTTTGAGGAAGATCGGAGTTCCCGGAACCTGGAAAAGTTCAAGAAAAGTACACTTCCGGTCGCGAAATTGCTCCGTCGGGACTTCGATTTCAAACGCTGACATGTGTCTCATCATCATTCATCGAAATCAAAGTGTATCCTTTTTGAATGAGCTGTAACCTCTCAAAGAAGTAGATCGGAGGCCGGGATTGAGTTATCTTCGCCGAAACACGCGTTTCCATACTCGTTGTTTCACGACGAATGGCACTCTGATTCATGTTCGTTTAGATCGGAGGCCGTGATCGAGTTACCCTCGCCGAAACACGCGTTTCCATACTCGTTGTTTCACGACGAATGGCACTCTGATTCATGTTCGTTTTATACTATCGTACACGTTATCTTGCATTCTCATGGGCATACTCACATTGTCATGCACGTCTCTTGATGTTAATCATACTTCTATACTCGAGCGTGCGTTGTCACGCGTATTCTGTTCTCGCATTGCGACGCATTCACTCGCCGACACCGCGCGTGTCGAACTTTCGAAATCACATCAAATATGTGTTGTTAGCATATTGTACACGCAATTTCTCTCTTTTGCAGGCACGATATTGTATGTACGGTTCAATTGAGGCTGGTGCGACCAGACGAATCGCGCAGGTATCGTATCCTCTCCGTGTGAGACGCGACGAGAATTGAACAATTCTCCGCATTCTTAACTGCATGAAATGTAGTTGTTGCTTTGCATTCTTGCTTAAAACT